TACAACAGCGAGATGGCAGGGCGAAAACAGGACGGACATCGCTTTCGGTAGCCTGTACGTGAAGTTGGAGACGGTATTTTAATGTGCCGCCAAAGGAAAAAGACGGAGAACTGATGTATAAAGTCCTACACAATAGTCTTACTTCCCAACACACCGTCATTAATAATGCACATATGGTCAAGCATGCGTGATTAGAGTCACAATTTTATACAAGCAATTAGTCGGTACAGGAAAAGCCTAAAAAATCATCATACCTGATTTCCTTTTCTTCATACTCTTCCGTTTCGTTTTGCTCTGCCCTTCATTACTATAATCGCTGTCAAGGTCGCCGCTTTGAGGATGTTCTTGGTCATTCTCCGTTGATGCATCCAGAGTTGCCTTTTCCTTCATCATCACCGAATCTGATTCGGAGGATTTCGTTCTGCTCCTGTGACGCGAGACTGTTTCTTCTTCCCCACCGCTTCCATCGCTGTTGCATTTCTTCCTGCTTCCTTCCTCTTCCTTGGTGTCGGATGTATCTGGCGTATTGGTATTTTGCTCACCTAAGTCGATAGTCAAGCTTCCAGGGCTTGGAATGTCTTCAAGTTCGATATTTGTAACATTGTCATCAAATCGTGATTGTGTGGGGATGGGATTTAAAACTGGTGAGGGGGGATTGACATCCCTAGTATCAACGGGGTCAGGCAATTCCGATTTCTTGCACTTGTAACGCCACGGCACAAGGGTTGTATGAGGTGGGAAAGCTGTCGACACCTTAAACATTTGAATACTGTCATGCCGGAAACTTCGACGGGAAAAACGTGTTTTTTTATGAATTCTGTAATTGTCACTGGACGTCTCCTTCTTTTCTTCATGTTTTCGCCTTTCCATGCTGATGATAAGCTCCTTTCGCCTTCTCTTCTTCTTCTTCATTTTAGACGAAACGAAGCCACTGTTTCCACTCGTCAAGTCGTGAGATTCACGAGCTGTTTTCAGATCCTCAGTGGTATTTTCACTGTCGATTTGTACACCCGCACAGTGTTTCATATGTGCATGATCCGTAGTTCTGTCTACTTTGCTCTCATCTATAGAAAGTTCTACATCCGTGTCAGCACCGTAATTATCGACTTCGTTATCTTGGCCACAGTTAACTGGGTTGTGTGATCTTGAAGAAATGCTTGCATTATTATTTTCAAAGCTTCTTTTGGTAAAATTTTCTTCTCCAGTAATACTCTGTTGAGAAGGCATCGTCTTCGACACCAATGACGGATGATTTTCAAAGTTTTTGTAAACTTCCTCTTTACCACTCTCCAAGATTTTGTCGTTCATTTTACGTCCAGGATGAACCCTTTCTTCAAAATTACGGCTCCAGCCGACATTGTTAGAAGACGCAGAATTTTCAGTTGTTGCAGAGTTGATACCGACACTGCTCACGTTTTCAGAATTGACGAGAAGCGAATCTGCAGTCCGGTTACTGAAATTAACTTTACTTGCTGCGTCGTCACAAGCCGTGCCTGAAGGACCTTCCTGAAAAGACCCACGTCTCCCAACACCCGAAACTTTATTCCCACTTGCATCGCTTCCAAGACTTCCTCGAAGTTCTCCGGGATCAATGCTTCTCTCCGATGCAATATCTGTGTTTTGATTCTGCGTTTCCAGACCAGAATATTCTTCCACGTGCATGGAGTTCGCTGAATTGCATGAGACACCTTTCACAAATTCGTCTCTTTCAATTTTTGCAACTATAGAATTGTCTACTGAAAAACGTTCTAAGGAATCTGTTACTCTAAGTACCTCGAGGTTACTCTTGTCAGCAGATAATGTATCTATGGTTGGTACAGTATTTTCGACTTTCAGTTTTGTACCTAATGATTTAGTAACGACGCCGACGGTTTCGTTTGGCAAAGAACATTCTTTTTTCGCACTTTCTGAACTGCAAGTGTTGGTCACATGGTCTTTCGGAACACTGAAAAACCCTCTTGGAGCTTCGATTGTATCTTCATCTTCAATCTTCATTTCCTGATTTAATTCATAGCTTGAGTAGTCCCAAGACTTCGTCTTTTCGTTGCTAGCTCTCGATTCTTTGGCCGAATCTTCTATATCCGATGAAGAATCTTCTGTTATCGCTCTTACTGCTTCTTTCTTCTCCGCATTTCCGTTCCCTTCTATTAATGTTATGTTATTGAGAAGAGGCAACGCCGGAGCTTTAAATTCATCATCAGTGGTTTTCTCATCATGTGCCAGATCAATAACAACATTCCACGACTTTACTTTCGCATCCTTGCAAAGGACGAGTCTACTAAGGTATGGTTTATTCGTGGGTTCTATGTGATCCGTTTGCGGCATATCTGTCTCCGTATTAAACGACAATCTCCTGTGCCTTTCCTTTTGTTTTTCCTTCTTTCTCCTTCTTTCAGAATGATCAGGAGCCGAATGTCGCCGTTTGTTTACAGATACTGTCTTGCGTTTCTTTACCTCACTGTCCCTGCTCCGATCTTCATAGTCCTTGGGTATATCACAGTCCAGGTTCACATGTTTTGTGGAAACCAGTTCACATTTTAGTTCCTGCAAAGGCTCCGTGCCCTTAATGGAATCTGGCTCACTGTCAGGATCACTTATGTTCTCGTACAAGGGTTGCCAGTCCTGATAGACATTATTCTGAAAGGACTTCCCGTTTGTAGAAATATTTTCTGGGCACGCATGACTGTTACGAACGGTATCAAAGGTAAGATCTCTTTCCCAGATTCTGGACTCAAAAGTAGAATTTCTGAAATTCTGGGACTTCCCAGACGAAATTTTTTCGTTCTGCGAAGAATTGTTTGCAGAATCTAGATCAACCATACTGCTATAACCATCATTTACAAAATCACCACCATCGGTTACATCGTATGCACCACTTACACCATCCACAGCACCACTTACACCATCCACAGCACCACTTACACGATCCATCTCAGTACATACACGGGCCACTTCACCGTCTACACGAAAGGAACGCGCAGAAACATATGACGAGCTCTCAAGCCGCGATGTATCCAAGATGTGATAGCTGCCATTGCTGGTGGGAACAATTCTACCAAGACGTTCAACCCTAACTGTCGGCTGCCGTCTGTCTAGAGTTTCACTGCCGACTGTGGTCTTAAAGTCTTCTGTTGTGCACTGTTCCTCCAAGACAAAGTTCACATTTCTCATGTCACTCTGCCTCGCCCGTCGACAGGCCAAGTTTCTGAGTGATCGGACAGTGCTTCCGCTCTTGTGCCGATTAGCTCTAATATACTGGTTATGCAGGTGTGTCAGGGAATCTTGACTTGTGTCCTCTAGACCTGGAGAAAGATCTGGATAAGCCGTTCGGGACACAAGACTTGCTGAACCTGGGTGCGAACTTTCAGGTTCCGTCGCCGCCTGTTGGGCGACTGGAAGCAATGAAATCACATCTGACGTATGAGCAACAATTCCTTCATAATTGTTTTCAACGTGCACCACTGCTGAGCCCCTCATTTTCGCAATGCAAGTCCTCACTTAAATAACATCCTTGACACAGCCAAGACGGACTCCGTGTATATCGGTGCGGCCAGTTGTCTGCTGACGACTGATAGAGACACGATCGCATAATCCTGAAATCACATAAAACATGAGTACAAATGCAGTACAACGTTCGAGATTTGTTGATCTCGCGGCGGTGAAGATGACGAAGTAGTTATTCTGTGTTGTGAGCCGCGTAAGCAGATGCACGGTCCACAACGCAGAACAGCATTGTGCAGTAAAACTCCGCACAGTAAGGAAGACCACGGCAAGAAAGAAAACAATGCAAAAACATTCACGTAAAAATTCAGGATATCACGGCGACGGGTATGTGTAGCTGGCTGTCGCCTAGGATGTTAAAGCCGTGCAGTCTGGTGAGCAGCATTCACTCCACCTGGCTGGGGTCCCTTCACCCACTGGCTTCCTTTCTAAGCCTCCCTCACTTCGGTCCTACAGGGCCTTGAGAACCCGATTCTCTATCTAACCCAACTTTCCTGCAAGCTGTCGTAAAAGACAAATTGCCCGATTGGATCATCCTCCCATCAGAAGCAGCAGCCCCATGTCTGAACAAATCGAGGCATCCAGCCAAGACTAAAGTCCCCTTAGCGCCAGCATATCCCCAGTAATAGCAGGACACCGCTTATCATTTCCAGCTATGCGTTTCGTACGCAGGAATGGTCTAACCTATCAAGGGCCGATGACCTGCGCTTGCGAAGGACTCCGCTCTCAGTTAACTTCTTGGTTAGGTGGTTGGCGCGGCTTACTCATTGCCCTGATTACGGAAACAGTAAGATTCTTTGAAACGTCTAAAACATCTAGGTCAGTATGTACCAGACTACACAGAGCAACATCCCAAAAATCAGGGATCGACGGTACCGGGGGGGGGGGTGGGGTGAAGTGGGCACAGTAAACACAGCCGTCGGGTTCCATAAACGGCAGGGAATATGACTCGCTAAGTAACTATCACCTTCAGCAGAAGCCCTCGGTCCATGAAGTTAGTTATGACTTCCACGCGGACAACCTTGGCATTACGAAGCTTGAAACTGGTCACCACTTCTTGTTATAAGTACGGTGCTTAAAACGTTATCCGGGACTTGTGTTACGAGTGTGTCAATTATGGACTCAACTGCATAATTTCAACAAGCATGGACAAGTAAACCCTTGTTGGTAAAATACAGCTTATGTACGCTCTGTTGTAAGTAAAGTCGACATCAAGCAGATGACAGAGTATATAGTGATCTTCATAGCGCGCTCTTCTCAAATATTATTCGTATTTTTTCCAATTCATCGAGCTTTGTGTAAGTACTGTATTGGAAGGAAGACGTATCTTTTATGAATACCAGTAACTTTCATTAATTTTATTCGGAGGGGGGAGGAGGAAATACTTAATATGTGACGAGAATTAAATTGGCATTTTGTGGACTTTAAATTTAACAAACTTAATGACACTTCCCACGATTACATACTATTCGAATAATAAAAAGTATAAATAAAGTTTCAACAAAATCGGTACGAATCTTCAAACGTGGCCTTAAACAAACTAAGAAAGATGGCTATCTTCCGGCTTTTAGTGCAGTGTAGTCTGGTAGAAGTTTGCCGCCTCCATCATCAGGACAATGGAGGCAGCGCGAACCTCTGAAACGTTGGTAAGCTTCTACCAGACTACACGGCAGTACAAGCCGGAAGACAGACATCTTCATGTTCAACGTCGTGAGGGCCTCAATCTTACAAACCGAACAAAAATTAAAATGGCCCTACAACTTTCGGTTTAGGTTTACCATCTAAATCGGTCCTGCAGTTTAGGCGCTGTTCCGTGCGGTAGGACGGATATAAAATTTATAATCTACGCGGGTTTTGTCTTCGTCTACAGGAAATACTTAAATCAGATATTCGAATACCGAGGGACAACTACAGACTTCACCATCAACACTAACATCCCGACACCACAAGAACCCAACCCTTACTGACTTACTGGTTGCACTACTTGGACAAAGGGACTTTGTAGAAGACTGTATTAGTGTACACCACACGGGAGGAGAATAAGCGACCAATTCTGAGTTGGAACAGTGCAATAAGACTGATCATTAATGTTGACGATGATAAAATTCTGGTATTTTGACCACCTAAAACCTGCTGTTCCCTTCAAGCAAGTCTTCCCTTTTCATAATCGGAAGAAGTTTCTTAGAGGTTGGAAAAATTCTGAATTGATTTAGACGTACAAGAGCATTGTGTCGACAACACACACAGAAATCAAAAACGTCGAAGTTTGTCCTTTCAACTTTCGAAGGCCCGCACGTGCCTGGATTTTGCGATGGACTGCCTTTGTTCCCTGTCTTTATTCTTCCGTCTGATTCTTAACGTTGTTGCCACGGTAACACCAGAGTAATTTTCTGTTCTATCAATTGCACGGCAAATTGGCAAAAGAAGATTTTTCCTCACTTCCGCTCGATTAAACTGTTGACTCGCATTATTCTCCCCTTGTTTGGCTCTCACGCCACCTCTTTCACATCTTGGCATTTATAAATTTGAAGTTTCAGTGCTTGTCTATCGGTTGATTTTTGTCGGCTTCTCAAACACTACCGGGCACACTTACAAAATTTCAGTCCTCTACTCGATAAGACTCTACCACTTAAACCTGCCGCACCATCTTCCCCCATCGTAACACATCTGCAGATGACGGGCAAGAAAAGAAAAAAGAACTCTGGGAAATGATTGAAGAAAATTTCAACATCCCAGGATTGCTGTTTCATTTAAAATTATTCATTATCAGGACTTTTTACATCGTCTGTTGTTTAAAATTACGACGTTTCGGAGGCTGGTCCTGTCACCGTCTTCAGGTGCGAGGTACCTACTCTGTTGGGTCCCTTAGAGCCTGAAGACGGAGACAAAACCAGCCTCCGAAACGTCGTAATTTTAAACAACAGACGATGTAAAAAGTCCTGATAATGAATAATTTTAATTGTAATCTACCGTCGTCAAAACCCTTTAGAATTGAATTGCTGTTTCATTGTTCATTACATAAATTCCAACGTTGAAACTTCAATCTGGATGAAGCAAATGGTTTTCCATTAAAACTTTAGAAAACGTAATAGTGTGAAATCCCTACACTTCTTTTGGCGCACTAAGTATCACGATGATCGACGGGGCTAGGAAAGTTAGCCGACAGAGTAAATATTTACAAAAGGCAAACCGCAAAGACTGTTTACACGCAGTCTGTGGGTCATTTCCTTTGCTGGGTGGACGCTTGTGTAAACTATTAATACGACTTCTTTTTCCGTGTTTCTTTGTCTAATGTTTCACGATATAACCACTCTACAGCGTACAAAAGCACAAATCCGTACTTCCTTGTCGGCCCGGATACGACTCCATCCCTCCCTCTTCACCCCATGGTTCCACGAGGCTAATTCTCGATACCTGACCCACCTCCAACCCTTACAAAAGCCACCTACTCCTCGACAAACAGATATCCATCAGCGTCCTGATAATAGAAGCAATAAGCATATCTATCGTCGGCCAATTTCTATGAAACAACACATCGCAGGGATAACATAAAATCTCAGAGATCTTGGAAAGACGGCAGCTTTCGTTTTGTCAAATGACAGTGACAATTACGTTGGTTAAGGAAATACCCGGTCTACCGTGGGCGGGGTTGGGATGTGAAAACACCAACTGGTTACCACAGGAGTGAACCTATACTGCTTGGCCACGTCAGTGTTCCATAGCGATGCTAATCAATAGCTTCCCCCTACCCTTCGTTACAAAGAAAAAGTCAGTTTTGTAATGTTTCCGACTTGGGACACATTTTTACCTCATGTTAAAACATTTTTCCTGAACGTGTTTCCCCAAGTGATATTATTTCCCCGGACAATATCATGTTTTAATTTTAGGGGCTATCAAAAATCGACGAAGACCAACTATACTTTGTTACACACATCACAGGTTCTAAGAAAAATACCGTGGTCGCATTTATGAACATGGGTGAAAATTAAGATAGCTACCTGTCTTCTGTGTTGTAACGTCGTG